AACTTTCTGAAAAAAGTAAATTAATATTAAATGATTTAATATCTTATTAAGGTAAATAAATAAAAAAAACTTTTATTTTCATTGCGCAATTAATGTTTTTATAAAAGTGATAATCTCTATCATTTCTATTATCATTTTCGGCGAAATGTACCGTAATCCTTGACGGTACAACAATTTGTACGAGCACTTACTTTTCTATATAGTCCGGATGAGCTTTAAATAGTACAAGAAAAGCTTCCAGACTGGGTGGATCGCTAATGAAAATGTTTAAACAAATTCTTATATATTAGAATGGCTTAACTAACATAATACGTACACGTAAACTTTATTTTTTATTTTCCCGTTACAGTACTTCGAACGACCGGTCCCGAACGACCACGGGGTCTATAAATATGCACGAGTTATAAATCACAAGTCCCAATGTGAACGAAACTTTATTGTATTTTTTTGTAATTGATAACTATAATATATTGTAAAAAAATGCCATTGGCAAAAAAAAAACGATTATAAGTAAAAGTGGACATTTAAAGGGAGGAACCACGATATAATCGAGAACATTATAAACATGCTCAGGCCCACGAAATTTATGTCATATATATCATTTCTTTATTAATAAAATAAAAAAACTAATTCAATAAACGAACATATGAAAACTATTATACTAAGAAATATATTAAGAAAAAATGCAATTGTAAACAATACTTATTGCAAGGATGTAATAAAAAACGATAATAAAACGAATGGATAAATTAAATAATTATAAAAAAAATTATCATTATTAAGAAAAAAAGCAATTATAAAATTATAAGATTTCTGTCAAAATAAAATGAACCATTTATATTATTATAAGAATGTAATAAAAGTAAAACGATAAATTAAATTATTATAAAAGAAATTACATAAAATATCTTCAAACGGTGGCTCCAACTTCATGATAAAACTCCATTCTTTTTTTGAATACCTCCATTCTATGGTCCAACTCGTCAACGGTTTTTCTCAAATCGTGCATAAGTTTCTTATGTTTAGCTTGGAACTCCTGAACGTATCCTCCTCCATTTTTGATACCAATAGCCTGAGATACGATGGCAATGTATGCCAAAAGCATGAAAATAGTGATTGCGACTTTCGTGGTTGTGAATTTCATGATGCTGTTTCTTAATACGACAATTTTTTGCCAAGAGAAGTATTTAAGTTGATTTTTTAATGGAATGATGAAGTGGATAATGATAAAAATTTGACTGCATTTATATCTTTATTCTTCCTATAAGGATATTACGTATCTCGAATTAATCGTAAAAAAGCAATCTTTTCTTTTTAATTTAAAAAGTGAACATCAAAAATGAAGCATATGATCACGTATGTACATGTTTGGACAATAGTGCTTTCACGTTTCGAGATTGTGAAAATTAGTAAGAGTGCCGATTTTATGCTTTTTTTAACTAAATTGAATAGGTGTAAATCTCGGAATCACAATCTCGTTTTAAGTTTTCCCGAAATTAAGGATCTTCATACTCTTAACCTTATTATGAATATCTTTATTTAACGATCGTCCTAATTGCAAAACTTTATTTCTAAACGAGGAAATTAATATATGCAGATTCATATATCCTTCAGGTAAAATACAGTTTAACGTTGCTAGAAGCAACTAACGGGTATACATATACACATGTTTAAAAAAATTTAAAATAAAATCTTTATTATATTTTGTAAAGTAATTGAGAAAAGGCCGGCCGGCTAAGAGGTATAAAAAGAAATGGCTAGGAAGATAGCGTTTGAAATAAATGATGCACAAGAGTCATAAACGCTCTAAGGGGGAGGAAGTTCTCGGATCCTAGGCCATAAATGATAGTCCCAGCATCAGTTTTATTTCCCACTACTACTTCCACTGATACTACCGCTAACGTTACCGCTACTACTACTGTTATTACTATTGCTATTATTGGAAAAACTAATATATATATATATTAACTAACTGATTTCTTATTTTCCTCCTTTTCAACCCATTCTACAGTCTACACAGAAGTTGTTCTTGGTGATTTTTGATGTCGATAAAAACTAGCTAACATGTTGGCGCTAACCCTATAAAAAATTTTTATCCGAATATTTCCATTATTTCTCCGTGTCTTCCGTAAAAATTCTGTGAAAATGATACATTCACGGATATCCGTGTTAGCGAGATGAAAATTTCCATGATTTAAGGCTATAAATTCCATGAAAATGATACATACATTCACGGAAAAAACATGGAAAGATAAAACACGGATCAGATTTTTTACAGGGTAAGGCAGATTTCAGTTGATAAAATGTTGTACAGTTGAGTTGGAGAACGACTTTCCCTTTTCCTCCTATTATTAAAAAGGGCCTGTATATTCGGAATATTGTCCCATGGAAACGTGACTTGTGGAGAATCGATTTTCGATTTGATATGAACAAGGCGCAGTAAGTATATATGCACAACAGTTATTTTTAACTTTAACCCTTTAACATATATATATATATATTAACCTTTAACGGATACGGTATATTTCGCCGAAGGGATGTTTCGCCGAAGGGATGCTTCGCCGAATGGACATTTGTCGAAACATTATTTATTACATTTTTTATTTTGTTGTTTTTATACTAAATACATGAAGAAATCTTTACTAGAAATTTTTTTTGAATTGGCCAATTTTTATTAAATTTGTCTTGTTGTTTATAATATATTAGTCATTTTTTACTGAATAAATGTTTTCAGGAAATAAAGTTATTTATTTATTGCTTAACAATTAATATCAGTTACTTGAATTTTAAAGTGATAATTTCATAGAAGAAAAGACACTTAAAAATAAAAAGAATTTTTTGTTTAAACGTTTATTTGATTTTTATTTTTATTGCAAAAATAGGTTACGTGGCAAAAGAATGTAAAATATAAACTAAAAAATGAAAATATTAAAGTACTCAATCAAGAATCGAAGATATTATTCAATGTCTAAGTTTAATTTTATACATTGGTCAAATATCTATTAAGGTTCCTGATGTAATTTAATAAATAAATAAAAAAAATATTTTAATTTCATTGCTCGATTAATATTTTTATAAAAGTTATAATCGCTATCATTTCTATCATTTTCGGCGAAATGGCTTCGGCGAAATGTACCGTAAGTTCACGATCACTGGCTCAATCCATGCGGTAAATTTCCAGACATACCCAGAGTAGGGATTGGAATCGACTAATCGCGATTAATCATTTCTCAAAATTCGATTCTGAGATTCGATTTTCAGTTTCGATTAATCGATTCTAATCATGAAAAATATGATTTGTGGCGTAGTAAGTCGTCACATATCTTCTATTTATTTATTATTTTATTTATTATTTTTCTACTATAACTCTTTATCGGCCAAAATACAATTTTGCGGCAATTTTCTTGTAATTTTAATGAAGAGTATATATAAGAAAAATTCCATCTCTTTTTTAATGAATATTCAGAAGTACCATAATCTATTCTAATGTATCACAATGATTTTGTGTAATAGTGGTTATTTTCATTATAAAGCAAATCAAATAAAGAAAATTAATACCATTAATTAATTCAATAATAATTATAATCGTTATAAAGAAATCCATATAAAGAAAATAAATACTTTATAAAAAATCATATGGTTAAGTTTAGAAGGAAACTAATGGCAATGATCTGCAAAAGTCATGCTGCAATAATTCGATTTTTTTATGCGATTTTCGATTTGATTCCAATCGAGGGATCAAGCGCCAATACCGATATGGATGGTCCTTATCACGTCAAATTACAGTAGTGGTCATAAGTACCCCACCCCTCATAATTTCTGAAATCAAATAATAACACCCACTAAAATTTTTTGGGACTAACCTTGATCGTGTGTAAAATATTAAGTTTGTATGATGTATATTTTAGGAGTTAGATGATCAGTAAATTTTGTGTCTCCAAAAATTTTATTTTTTTTTACACATATTTTCATTCCTTTATTATTTCACGCCTTAGTCTTCTAAATATATAAATTTTTTTTTTGAACATATTAATTTCAAGAGTTACTACACATTTTCCTCAAATTTTTTACCAAATAAAATACATATTTGGGAAATTTCAATTATATTATATTTTTCCTTTTATTTTTTCATAATTTTTGATTGTGTTTTGAATTATCAAATTTATGCAAGGCTCATTCTAAGTTATATTTGCTAAAAATATCATAGGAATAAGCCAAGAGATCTCCTTTATAGGTACTATACATAAAATGAGTGTCAAAACTTTACTTAAGTAAAAATTGGTTACTAAATCTCAGAGCTAAAAAAATTAATAACGGATTTTTTATAGATAGTATGATTTTTTTCATTATTAAGTCTTTATTTTGATGCCCAAGTAAATGATCATAATCCTAATTTATTAATAAAAGAAAATCAGTATTATGGAGGGTGTCAGGATAATGTACCTTCAGGATTTCGAGTGTTGGTCTGGCCTAATTTTGGCCGGATGCTAATCTTGGCCGAATTTTAATGCTGACTAGGATTGAGTTTTGGCGGATTTGACTCACTTGATGATCGACATTCCGATCATCAAGTGAGCCATCCTGGCTTGGCTTGGCCTAGCTTGAAAAGTTTGAGCCAGCTTGCAAGCTCTAATTATATGACGTATTCTTATTGTATTTATTGTATTAAAAATTCGTTGCGTAGTAAACTCTCCATATAGAAATTTTTTTTCATTCTTTGATTCTTCAAGTGAATCATAGTACGTTATTTGTAAACGTATAATGCTCTATCAAAGAAATTTATTTACACATTGTACCAAGAGATTTCTGCGGAACGCCAATATCCCATATTTGACATACAGTATTCTCTGAAAAATAAGTAAAAAAAAAAGTATATAGAGCGATAGAATAAAGGTTTTTCCAACAAGAAATTCATTAAAATAGATAAATAAATTCACATATAAAATCTCATATATCTTTCATTTTCTTCACATACAAATAACATTAATAAAATTACTAAAATGTTATTTGATTCTCAATCAAACATTTTTACAAAATCAAATCTGGTCTATATACCATTGTCAATAACAATTGCTCATATATTAAATTTCATCGTTAATTCACCTTTATCAACATGGAAAGAATTTCCACCAAAATTATCTAATTCAGTTTATTCTTCAGTATTTTATACTCCATTATTATTATTTATATCACTTACATTTGAACCAATTCGAACAAGGAAACGTTTTGCTTTTTACACATTATTATCTTTAACACTTTCAGTTATTTTAATTCCAATAATTTACCGTGAAAAAGGTTATCCTCCTTCACTTCAAAGTAATCTTGTAGCTATTACTACATTTTTTGGATTAAAAATGTTATTATTCTTAAAATTTAATAGAACATCATATTTAGATCAAAAAAATTTGGATCAAAAGAAAGAATTTAAATCATACATCTCGACATTATTTAATTGGTGTCCTAATCCTTATATAATTCCTCCAGTATCAAAAAATTCAGATGAAAAAAGAAAATCCTTCAATTATTAAATCACCAACAACTCCACAAATTAACAAGAAATTAATCAATCGTTTATTAATTATTATCACAAAATATTTAATTTCTGATCTTTGTATTTTTGCACTTTTAATTTCCACCGATTGTAAAATAGAAATTCCAAAAAAAAAGCTTATCAAATTCGTTTAATAGAATTTTTTACTAATGGAATTCCTCCTTTTACAATTTCTTCAACGATATTATATTTGAATTTCCTTGGAACAATGTATTTATGGCTTTCATTAAATTATGATATTGTTACTATTATTGCCGCGATCATCTTTTCATTCCACATCAGAGAAAAATGATCACAACTCCATTTTAATTTGATCTGGTATCCTTACCCCTTCTGTTTATGTTTCTATAAAAGAATGGATTATTACATTCTTATTTAACACTAAACATTTATTTAGTGAACCATTTATTTCATCAAGTCCTCGTGATTTTTGGTCTACTCGTTGGCAATTATTGATTAACGAAAGTTTTAAAGAATTAGGTTATTTACCTGTTAAAAATTTATTTGTTTCAATATTTTCAAGGAAAATTGCAAACATTATGGGTGTATTAAGTGCTTTTGGTATTAGTGCTTCATTACATGAATATCTTATAATTGCAAATGCTTATACTTGGACAGGTGAACACTTCTTTTTCTTTATGACTCATGGTGTAATATTTATCTTATGGGAAGTTGTATTTATTAGTAATAAGAGTAAAAATGAGAATACTATGATTGAAAAATTTTTAAAATGGGTCTTATTTCTAATTATTAATTTAATATTGCTTCCAGCACTTATTGAACCTTCAATGAGAAATTTTGATTTTTCTGATATTTCATCTATTTCAAAAAATTTTGTTGATTACAGTCGACTCTGGTTATAACGAACTTGTTTGTACCGAAACCTCGCTATACCGAATCATAATTTCCAGAACCGATTTTTTATAAATAATTTCACTGGATATAACGAACTTTTATAATAAAACACTATATAATGCATCCGAACCAAACTTAACCAGCCCCTATATATCAGCTATATAATAACTTTATACTTTTTATAACGAACGGTCATGTGACTATATAGTAGTCCAGGCCAATTTTATAGTGCTGGCCAGAATTACTAGTAATTTTTTCGAAAATTTATGTTAAAAGAAATTATAATTTTGGCCGGCATTACAAATTTGGCCTAAATTACCAGGACCCAGAAATATGTATATAGGGGTCAGGTGATGAAAAAATTTTTTTACTATGAGCTGTACGCATTTTTTCAGAGCCGGAATTATGATAATTTTAGCCATCTACTATAATAGGAAATAAAATTCTGACCGGCATTATCAAAAATTATCTAAAAAAGGAAAGATTTTCATGATTTTTTTAGTACAAAATACGCAAACTCGAACCTGACCCTTTTATATATATTTCTGGGTCCTAAATTACCTATAAAGAAAACTAGTTCGGTATATTATATAACGAATTCACTATATACCGAACTAAACCTCCTGGAACGGAAGGTTCGTTATATCCAGAGTTGACTGTATATGAAAATTTAAATTATTTTCCTTTTATTTGTAATTTTTTTTTTATTCCTTTTTTTTTATAAAATAAAATTTATTACGGTTTGATTTAGACGTTAACGCATCATTCACGTGATATATCTTGAAATTTGATTGGTCAATTTTAATGATAAATTTATGTTTTAAAAAGTGAGAATATTTATAATTTCGAATTTTCATCCAAATGGGATTTAAACCAAATCATTAAATTCTTTAATAAGATCATATAAAATAATAAAAGAAATCCGATCATGAAAAAGCTACCATAAAAATTATAACAATAGAAAAACAACCCCACAAAATGACGAAAAAAAATCATAAAAATGAAAAAAAAAGCAGAAAATGAAGTCACAAAAGTGTCACAAATAAAAATAAAGATCGTCACATAAAAGAAAAGTGTTAATATAAATTTCAAAAAAAAGCAAAAAAAAAAACGAAACCCTATCGAAATCCCATCATAAATTATCCTAAAAAGAAAAATAAATGATTTAGCGAAGAAATAACGTATTTTAATTATTTTAATGGGAAAAAAATGATCATCATCATCATTTGTTTGTCTTGTTATAATCGTAAAATTTACTAAAAAAACGCGTAAAATATATATGAGAAATACATTTAATTGTCTATAAATAAATCGGACGTTTGAGATTAATAATTCATATCGATTCAGCTCGCTTCCAAGGTTATTTATGGTAAAGCCGCCCTAGTCAAAAGGCTGGGACCCGATATATATAAAAATATTATTATAAAAATATTTTACCGGATTTTTTTCAGATGATAATTTCGGGCAGTATCCAAAAAAAGGCAATAGCTTTCCATCAGGCATTATCCAGATTTTCAAGAATTTTGACCTTTTATGAAATTATTTATATTTCGAGGTCCTAAAGGACCTTATTAAACATACGTGCTCTCGCTGTAATTAATTGCGAGTTACTCCTGTATGATGTTAATTATAGGGCCCGTCAAGTATCCGCCATATGTTATGTGCACATTATGTTTAATGACGGGTTTTAATAAGAACAGCACCATACATTTGTGTCACATAGATTAAGTTTTGCATTAAAAAAAATTTCACTTTTTTTAACTTTTTTATTGATATTATGCTGGTTTTTACCATTTGGTTATCGTACGATTCATGCCAGATAACTAAAGAAACTAAAATATTCAAGTCTGGTCACATGAAAATTTTAATTTTTACGGATTATTCTCCAAATTGAAAAAAGGTTTTATTCAACTTTCCAATGAGATTCTAAAATTTTGTGTATGTTAACGTCTTACGACCGGAAGAAATTTCGCCGAAGATCATTTCACTGAAGCCATTTTTGCCACTAGTTCCATTGATTCTGGCTGGTGAACCGGTCGTAATCATTTGTAATCATCCGGATCCATGTCTTCTGCCGTCATTACAAAATTCCACATGGCGAAAATTGGTATAGCCGAAATCCGTTACCGACGGAAAATTTTGCCGAACCGAAATTTTTCGTTAGTGTACTGTTACACACAGGCTTGCTACCAATACAAAAGTCTACGCCCTGCCCAATCTTTACTTTTAAAATTCTTTTTACGAAAATGAAGTTCGTAAATTGATTTTTAATTAAATTAATCAGTAGATCCTTGTTAGAATTTTTACCTCATGATATTAAGCAGTATATTTTGTAAGTGCTGTCGACATGATTGAAAACTATATATGGCATAATGCCGTAATGCCGTAATGTCATACTGAATGTCGTAATAGTAAAAAAAAACTATCTTACCTTATAATTATTTAATACGCATACGTTGTAATTGCCACCATAATTCATGAATTTTATATAGTAAGTTTCTATCTAATCGTTCATATTAATGCATTATCTTCTAACATACTACTTCATTCAGAAATAATGAATATAGCACGAAGCGCAATAAATTATATTATATATGATGGTTGTGGTGATGCAAGTAGTGGAGTTCATCAACGTGATCAATTTCCAATAGAACCGCCAGTATCGAGTAAATAGTATTATTTTAATATTAATTTTATGTTTTACACTACGAAGACTTTGTTTTTTTAGATGATAAGATATCTTTCTAATGCAACATAATCATTTGAATCTGTTTTAATTGATTAATCAATATTGTCTTATATAGACGAAACGGATGATGAAAGAATTAGTTCGATTCCTTAGTATCCTGATGTGTTGATGATCAAAGTAAAGTACCTTGAGATGGTGACGGCTAAGAAAAGTGACTTGACAAAAATGCAAGCCATCTTGGAAATAATAATGTTGAAGATTTAGCATCTTGAAATGATGATGACGATTGGTGACAGAAATTCTGAAACCATTCACAAACCAAGTCTATGGATATTTAATTGTGTCGCTGCAGATTTAAATATGGTGTTACTTTATATTCAGTAGTAGGTGGTCAGTTAATTTAATGCATTAATACATGTGAGGCTTGAAGAACTTGTTTATTTATTTTTTGAATTTCTTTATATAAATATATATATTTATTTAGATCATCATCTTTTTTCTTTGATGAAATGGTATTCAATAATGCTGATGGGCATTATTCTTAGTAATGAAGAAATTGTATTGGTACGAAAAGCATAGTTTTAAGTATTTAACTCATTTAATATGGATTTATAATAATCTTTATTAATTTGTGGTTGAGAATCTTTCAACATATATACGGAAATGATGTTTCTTATTAATAACTAAATGAAGATTTGTTTTACTAATTAGATGTCATTAATATGAGATAACAAAAAGATGTATTTGTTGGATAATCTGAAGACGCATAATTGACGACTAAAAGCGAGTGAACCCTACAAGATAATACATACCCGTTTAACAATCTTGAAATGTTGAGACTTTTATATCTCTCCATGAATTATATTTATTTATAATAGATTTCGGCAATCCGATACTGAGAAAAAAAAAATTATAATTTTTTTTCTCTATTTGCATGTATAAGTATCTTAGATTTTATTTTTTCTCAATTTACAAGTTTCTGTATTAAAAAATGAGAAATATTTTATAATGTTTTTACAATAAGTAATTAAATTAATGATAGAATGCGAGTGTGATTTTTGCAAATAAAACAAATAAAACCATATTTCAAAATATGCATTATATTAACCGTTAATGAGGTAACAAATACAATGTATTGAAAGAAACATTTTTTTGATTAATTCACAACATGTCAGGACTGTTACTGTAAGTTACTATTTAATATTAATATAATTTCTAATAAAATATTTACATTTATTTGATATAAAACATCATTTAACATAGCGGCCCATATAATAATAATAGTAAATTAGACACAAAATTCTCTCTTTTTATTTATAATAATCGTTAATGATATCTTTTTCAGTGTTATTAATATTATGGTCTTATAACTCATAACTCATGATAGATGATGAATGTGAAGTTATAAAATTCAAAAGCAGTAATTTACTTGTATAATGAGGAGCTTGGATGACATTTAAATAAAATTTTAATAATAAGTAATTGTTATCGGTCATGTTGTAGATGATAACTGATTTACCACTAGGATTGCTATGTATATCATATGGCCGAAGGCCACATGATAGAGTAGCATCCTAGTGTAAATCAGTTATCATAAACATGACTGATAATAAACTGAGACCTTTTTCGCGTATCTTATTTATTATTTTATAATAATGTGATCAAAATTTTGTATATCACTAATTATAAAGTGACCAAAATTTGTGTATCACTATTATAAAGTGATCAATAACATACGTGACAAATGTCCAGTGCTTACATAGAACATATACAATAAAGCTAGGTTATCGATCTTTAAATTTAGATGAATATGATGGACAGCTTATGATAAGTTCATTATTGACAAGAATTTTTTTGTTTAATAGAATTATTCATCTAAAATCACGATCTGACAGCAAAAATTACCGGCACGCGCTCTATTTTCACCATGCAGAAAATAATATGACATGCGATTAAAATATAATTTTTCGTATATTGAAAGAACAATTTTTTTTTGATTTATTTAACTTAAGTTTAATAATAATATTTAGGGGTGAGATAATACCAGGTTTTTTATTATTAAATCCAATATATATAAAATGTTTAACCTAAAAAAAAATATCACTATATATATATATATATTAAAATTTACGAACGGATATTTTTTTTCGTAGATCAATATTGTACTATAAATAAACTAAAATAAGAAAATTACCGGGGGAAATTCACAAGTTATAAAAATTTAAACGTAATTAATACATGGGTACTTCGTAATACCCTTAAAATAAAATAATTTATAATTTAAGTCAGATTTGATCCTATGCAATTTAGCTATAGTTGTGCATTTAATATCGAAAAAATGAATTATTATGCTATCGTTTTAAATCGTTAGGTAATTTAGCATAATTGAATAATTGATGACTATAAACTAAAAGTATGCATAAAATGATAGCTTTATTATAAAAATATTTATAATTAAATTTTTTGTCCCTGATGAAACGAAATATTATATTATGTAGAGCTTCAGGCGTCTGAATATTCAAAATCACTTCTAAATAAGATAATAAAACTTTTATGGTAAATTTTGACTCCACGATTAGATAATCATTTATTTAATGCACAATTTAGTCATCCAATTAATTTCTATTTATATAAATTATTGTATCGTAGTGTGTATATTAAGAGGTATTTTTAATAAAAACAGCTTAAAACTCATAATTTTTTTTTTTATTTATTTATTAAAAATTATTGAATAAGTCAGTAATCGAACCATGACCTACAATACTTTGTTATTATAACTCCATTAGCAGTTAGTAATTGTTTCACTAGCCAAAATATGAGCAGGTCGGCGCGGTTTCGATGCCGATCTCTACTGTAAACTGTATAAATAAATTTCGCGTGATCATATAAAGCCGCGCCCACAAAACCGGGGTGCATTATACCAATGACGTCATCTTCACGTTATTGGCGAAATGGCTGTCAGTTGATCTACTAACATGAATAAAGAAAATTTATTACAGTATTTCACATCAAAGAAACAACGTTTTATCACCTGCTCGAGGTTTAAATGTTTTACTTTCACATGGGCTTGACATTTTTATCTCTGAATCTGAAACAGTGGCTGTTAGAACGTTCTTGCATATTTGTTATTATAAATAATATTTCTTTTGTCATGGATAAATTAAATACAAAATTAATATTGTATTTATGATATTCACTTAAGACATTTAACCGGGGGAAATTAACCGGTGGACAGAATTACATAATTCCTAGTCAAGCTTCAAAACTGGATTGTACCAGATTAACGCAATTCCTTCCGGTTAATTTAAGATTAGCATTTGAAATTAAAAATTATATTTTACAACATTTTATGATCGGGGGTGCAATTTTTTTTTTCCCTTGTCATACAATTAAACTTAAAGAACGACTTTTGTATAGAAAATGTCAAGTTTATCATATTTGTCACACACATTATCATCATTTAGAAGCGTGGCTGAGCGTGTACATAAATGGACATAAATGGACATAGAATATATATATATATATTATGAATGTATATATAAATTCAGATACTATTATTGATGCAACAAATGCATCAGAACCAGAAAGAAATTATGTTTCGTAAAATCATTTATTTAGCTACTATAATAATTTTTAAAAAGCAATATTTCATATGTAATTAAAATTTTGAAAAAAAATTTTTATAAGAATTTATAAATAATCATGCGCAAAAAAAAAAAAAGGTTTCACAAAATAATTTATCTATCAAAAATATCTTTTATCCTTTCGCCGCAATGATCCCAATTTTAGTCGAACAACAAAGAAACTTTTATGGGCTGATGATTTGACTATACAATATAATCAAAAAAGAATTAGCCTTTTTATTATAAATCAAACCTTTTAAAAAAAATCCATTACGGAAACTTTGTTAGTTAAATACTCCTAACATTTTTATTGTAATGATAAAGGCTTAATATTAAAATATACGAAAGCACAAATTTGGGAACGCGTAGACTCGGAAAACTATTTTATGGTTCCGAATTCCGATTGTAAAATCATCTTTTTATTTGATCAAAAAATTTTATTTACTTTGAATACACCTTAATAGGTTTGATTGAATAATCAATATTGAGACATTTATGGATATATTAGAGGTAAAAGGACATGGAAAATTTTTTACTGATCCGAAATTATTTATTTTATTTAATTAAAATTTATACAGTATATACGACGTAACGTGCACATGATTTCGCAGTCGAATCACATGAAACTCACTGTTAACACGAATGTTATGCATGATCACATGAGCACATGATGACAGACATCTGGGATAGCAATAATAATTTTTTTGATCATAATTTTTTTCTTTTCGTAAACAAATAAAATATGTAAACTGATATTGTTACTGCGTTAACGTACTATCTATATTGATATTAGAGCATTCAAAATTATTTTAAAATAGTATTTTATTTTAATAATAAGATAAACCCTTTATATATAAATTTACAATCTTCAAAAAAAAAATAAGAATAAGAATAAAGTAATTCATAAAAAATTATATCCGTAATTTCTGTGCATTAATAAAACATGGAATAAAATTTTTATAGGATAATAAAAATATTTAAATTTGAGTAATATAATAATTTAATATCAACATATAATTTTCAACTTTATTAAGCGTTATTATAAATATTTGTCTGAGAGGAATTTATAATAATCGCACCAAGAGAATTAGACGGAGGAAAAACGTTAGACTGAGGCGGATTTGGATTATTATATTGCGAGTTGAACTGTGGAGTCGAACCGTTGCTAGGCATGGATTGTTGCTGATAAAAATTATTATATTGCGAGTTGACCTGTGGAGTCGAACCGTTGATAGGCATGGATTGTTGTTGATAAACATTAGACTGAGGTGGATTTGGATTATTATATTGCGGGTTGAACTGCGGAGTCGAAATGTTACTAGGCATGGACTGTCGCTGATAATTTTGAGTGTTAGCGTTATCGTTTGAAGCGTCGTTAAAAATTGGCTGCTGATTGTTATTATTATTAGGTAAACTATTGCTTGGAGTGTTATTGGGGATATGTTGATCAGAAGGAATGCTTGTGCCCATAGAAAAAATATTGTTATTGTCGTTCATTCCAGAAAATCCAATATTGCAGCTGCAAGAATGATCACAGTTAATATTCGCAGTTGTAGTTGTCGCTTGTGGAAGATTATTGTAATTATTATTAATAAATCCAGTAGTAGTAATATTGGATTCGTAAATATTATTGCTATTGTTAGCTTGCGAAGAATTCATAATGAGCTGAATTTTGTATCTTAGATTCTTAGTTATGCACTCTTGCATGTATTTATAATAAATATTCGAATATTCGCACAATGAATTAAAAGGACAAAAAGGAAACTTCGAAAGAAAAAAGTATATACTCAATGTCATCTAAAATCGGATAATTGTGTAATGAATTTTAACTTTCGTTCGTCCGAAAGTAGACATGAATAAAAGTAATTATTTACAATATTTTATTATCCAATAAGCGGCGTCGATATAAATCTTAGGTTACACATTTTTATAACGATAAATGACGAGATCAAAAATATTATTACCCGGGACGTTATAATAATAGAATGTTATTAAGCCGAATATGACGTGAGTAACGTAAACCACGTACTTTACTTTTTTTTTAACTTGCTATAATAGGATCTCGGAAAGAATATTTATAAAATTTACCTAAAATTTTTCACTTTTATGCATACTACTGAAAAAATTAAAAACTATTGCATACCAGATTAGTAAAAACTAGAAGGCGTTTGATAATTTAATATATATTAAGTTATAATGAATACATATTTAAAATATTTTGTTTGGATGATGGTTAAGATGATCTGGATTATAGATAATTAATTTATCGGCCATTATTATTACACATAATAATGAAAAAAAACTTTTTATTTACGGGTCTTGAAAATTTTAATATCGCCGAATATCTTTAATGCAAGGGTACGCCCAAAGGAAGTGTTTTATAAAATTACTTTGTTATAAAAAAATTACCTTATGTGTATAACAAATATTATTTAATTAGTAAGCCGTTGTTGATCACACTATTCCATATTAATATAATTTTTTTTTTTTTTTTTGCGCTAAGATTGTAAGTCAATTTATTAAAGTATAAAAGTAAACAGTACAAAAACCATTGATATAAAAAATACTAACTAAAAAGAACTACTGGCTCCCCTATTTACCATACATAGTAAACTACCCAGATAGACGAACCCAACCTTGCCATAAGTATTCACATTGGTCTCAAAAGGAACACTATGAAACAGTTAATCACGAACCAAAAATTTGGAGAATAATATTGTAAACAATTCCCTCCAAATTCTATACTATTAATAATTCCTAAATAAGTAAATTGGTGGTAATTGAGAAATAGAAGAAGTATATTTTTGTCATTTCAATTTTTTATTAATCCCTGCATGTAATTCATCCACCAACATTCAATTGCAATGTAGTTTCCAAATTTCTTTGTTGACATCCATATAAAATTTGTCTAGTAAGAGAAGGATTATTAATAAAAGAATTAATATGAATAAAGAAGAAAAGGGAATTATTCCTTTAATTAAATCAATAAAATTAAATTGTTATCAATATATCAGCAGGTCCATAATGTGGGATGATGGAGATTACATGATAAAAAATTAGGTAAATCACTAAAATGTTTAATTAAGTATGTAAGTTCTTTCTTTTGATTGAAAATTATGGTAGCAATAACACCTGATGTAGAGGTATGATTGAAAGTTTGATTATTTTTTGCATGAAGGGCAATTCCATCCAGCATATAAGTCAGGATGATGTAGTTTCACATGTTCAACAATAGGTAATTCTTCCAATGAGAATTTAGTTCAATGGGATTTTTACCTGTAAAAAGAGGTTGAAATAGAATTTTCATCATCATTTAGGATAAAAAAGGAAGTTCCTCAATCCACATCCATATTCATGTAACAAGAATTTCTGTATAAATAAACAAAATTTTTCAAACCAATATCATAAGAAACATTAGTAATAAATTTTCTGAGGTTGTATTCAATAATAATATTTTTCCATAAAGGAAAATAAGAAAATTGTAGAAATATTAGAATAAGAAAAACTAATTGGTAAAGAATTATAATCATAAGAGGAACATGCAATAGAATTTACAAAATTATTGTTAGTATCACCCAATGGGCTTTTAATAACTTTTTGAAATGTAGAGAAAGTGAATTAAAATGAATAATATCTAAAATCATTTGACCATAAAGAATTATTATTGGAGCCCTTGAAAATATTACGAGGTATTAACACTGGTCGAAATACTCTAATTCGGCCAGAATTAGCAGGGCCGATTTTAGGCGATACAAGAATGAAAAACAAAAAATCAGCAAGATGATAATATTGATAATTTCATGTGATTACCGATGTGATTTGTATTTTGTTTAAAACAGTTTTACTATAAAATATTGTATAAATACATTTTCTAAAGTGAACTGAATTTACAATTTATAATATTAAATAATACTTACTTAAACCTATATGAAATATGTTTGAATTTTAAATAAAAAATCTACATAGACATATTTTACACATTTACATAAAATCCATATTGGGTTCTTAAAATTATATAAAATAGTGCATGTAAATTTTATATATAACTTTTCGTATAAAAAACAACTCCTTTCACTGCTGCACAAAAAATAACAATTCTGAAGGTATGATAAAATTAAGATACTAAAATTTGCATAATTAACTCAATTATGGTTAAAATATTTATTATAAATTCGAATGTCATGACTCATGATCTTATTAGAAATGAACATATTCAAAATAAATCACATTTCATATATTTTACATTTTATAGTTCTAACTCCCTTTTAAACATGAATTCTTGTTTATTAATTAAATATGCAAAAAAAAAAATTGTAAAGAAATGACAAAATATTACTAAAATATTAAAAAAATAAAAATATTATATATAATAATGTATACTATTTTGGGATTTATTAAAGTACGATCGATATTTAGTTGGCCAGTGACGTTTGCATTTTAATTTTATTGCTTCTACTATGACATATGACGACACACAAAAGTAAAATTTATTGAAAAAAATTTCGAAATTCCGCGATATAACTTCTGAAATTTCCGAAATTCTTTTTTTAATATCTTTTCTTTTGAGGAAAGAGAAAAAATGATACACTTTTTCAATGATTCATTTAGGTTATTTGGGCTAATTTTTTTTTTTTTTTTTTTAAAAAAAAAAAATTTATTTAAAAACAAGAGATGAATGACGGATGACTAATTCCAAAAAACGCCAATATGCATTGGAATTTTCGATTTTAACAATCTCCTTTAAGAAAAAATTATTAATAGATTGTAATTTTTGAACTAGCTAAAATCGATTAAAAAAAGATATTTCAAAGTATCCCATGACACCTTTCTTTTGTATTAAAAAAAATTTTGTAGAACTATGCAATACATTTCTTGGCATGTTTCACATATGTTTAAATTTAAATGACATAATTGTTTATTTCTAATTCTATAAATAGATTTAAAAAAAAAAATTTCATATACTTTTATAATAACGACACAAAAATAGGTTTTTTTGCCCCTGATTCTTTGTCTTTTTGCAGAATTTCATTATTCTATAAGTCGCATATCATACGATTTTGACGATCCTCTTGTTATCTTTTTATGGTTTGCATAATTCCCTTTTTAGAATCCTAGAATAAACTTATGGAATCTCTTTGCCTTTCTTCGTTAAAAAACCAAAAAGGTAATAGAAAATTTAACAACCTGGCCTGCATTAGATCTGCATCTTGCCCAGAATTAAAAAAAGGGATGATCATCATATTTATTTAACAATATGTTGACGTAATATATAATCTATATATCCGTATCACAATATGTTTATTTGCATTTAAAACAAAGAACTTCGTTTCGATATTAAAAAATTTTTTTTCTTTCATTACGTGAAATTTTTACGTGAGATTTTATTTTACGTGAGATTTTATTTACTGGTGATAATTCGAGATGGTGATCATGAGACTAAATTATCATTAAAAAATATTTTTTATTATATATACTGTATTTAATGATATTTAATGCAAAAAAAAAAAATTGTAAAGAAGTGACAAAATATTACTAAAAATATTAAAGAATAAAAATATAATATTATATATAAAAAAATTCAAAAACCATAAATATTTTCTATATAATTAAATGGGATTTGGGATGGGATGAAATGGGATGGGATTAGGACCCCGAACTAAACATAGATAGGCAGGTCCCTGGTTATTTGCTCAAATCATGTAGATCGTTTCCATTTTTGGGCAATGCCGACCAGCATTACATAGTGCCGGCCGGCCCTGAAGAAATGCGTAGAGCTAATAGTATATGTGTGCCGATCTCCCCTGACCTATATATATAACTCGAGGTCCTATTGGATTTAGAACTGATATGGGATTGGAATAGGTATGGGATTTGGGATGGGATTGGATTTTAAATGGGTGACATGTATACGAAGCATCCAATTATTTATTCTAAACCAGGCAAAGCCTTAATGTATATTCTCCAGGCAGTTCTAAATGTTAAGAAGTTGTACAAAGGACGAGAACGACGACTCAAACTGAATTGCTGAAAGACACACTCCAATAAAAAAAATACGAAAGACGTCAATCATCAAATTCATGAACTGCCTGTTCGGGTGTTCGGGCTTCTACTAATATTAAATCTTAATTTTTTAATATAGGTGAGTGTTCGGCTTTGATTTATATGAACATTTTTTTATAGAGAACATTCGTAAAATCGATTTGACAATTTGGTTTTCTTTGATTCTTATGCATTAAACTGGTAGCAAGCTAGAACATCTGAATAATTACATGTATATAGCAAGAAGACGCAGAAAATTTATCAATGGCACGTCATTAAAAATATCAAATTGTCAACATAGCATAAGACAATTCCGATTTTATTATTCATACCACGTTCGTTTATATGGCTATTTAATTTTACAACTATCTCTGTAAAAAAAGTCTGTTCCGTGTTTTATCTTTCCATGTTTTTTCCGTGAATGTATCATTTTCAATAGCCTTAAAATCATGGAAATTTTCATCTCGCTAACACAGATATCCGTGAATGTATCATTTTCACGGAATTTTTACGGAACACACGGAGAAATAATAATGAAAATATTCGGATAAAAATTTTTTATAGGGTATGTAAGAGATCGGATTCAGTTTATAGTATTTCACCGACAGTCAACTTACTGACAGAATTCACCGAAAACCATTTCACCGACAGGAATCATTTTAACGAAATCAATAATTCACCGAAAATCATTTCACTAATAATAATATTTTTTATAACTAATTTTAATGTTAAGAGTGTTATTTTAAAATATTAAGTATTTCAGTTTTTTTTATTTAGAATAAATACATTAAGCAATTAGTGCTTATAAACAATTTTATGATATGAGATTATACGTTGAACAAGAAGAAATTTAAAAAAATTAAATTAAAAACGTTAGTAGGGTTTACGGGTTTCCATACTGAAATCCGTACAAAATACCGAAACTCGAAAACCCGATAGTACATTATCCCGAACTCTAAATCTCGAAATGGTAAAATTTCGAAATGCCATAATCCCGAATTGTCGAAATCCCAAATTGTCATAATCCCGAATTTTATAATCCTGATACCCCATAATATTTACAGCTGATTTCATAATGTACGGGACACTTGGCAAAATTTAAAGAACTCAGAAATATTCGGTAAAAGTTCAAAATAAGATAAAATTATACCACCATTCTCGGAATAGTACTCCAAAATTAGCGTATAATTTTTATTTTATATCAAGCTTTACCGAATACTTCTGAGTTCTTTAAAATTTGCTAAGTGTCCCGCACATTATGAAATCAGCTGTAATAAATTTCAAGATTTTTCATTTCAGTATTTTGAATTTCGGGATTATGAAGTGTCGGGCTTATGAAATGGATTATGGCATTTCGAGATTTACCATTTCGAGATTTAGAGTTCGGAATAATGTACTGTCAGGTTTTCGAGTTTCGGTATTTCGTACGGATCCTTACATACTACATATGCCACAAAATATCATATGATCGTGATTTTTTTGATGGGTTGGTTGATGAAATGGTTACATGCTTTCTTTTATAACAGTTGTTCGTTTGAAAAAGTTTAGCCAATAAATATTATTTTTACTAATAAAATATTTTTTTAAAATTAAAAACATGATGAAAATTTTGTGAAAAATACCAAGAAATTCTTTAGTATATTTGTATTTTTTGATGCATTTGGAATTAAATTATATTAATAGAAAAATGAAATGAGATAGGGAATGGGGATTGGTTTGCCATCCCATTAATATGGGTAGCATGTATATATGTACGAGCCTCAGAGAAATTGACTAAGTATATTATCTCTATAAAAAAAAATACTATTTTTTGAAGCTGCAGCCCCAAAAAGCAGCAAAATAACCAGTTACTCTTGCAGTACCGCTAAATGCGAAACATGAATCAAAATCTCCATCATCATTCCTTTTATAATCCCGGAGTATTGTGCTTACATTGTGTTTATTCGAGGTAGCTGCAATTTCTTTATTATTCAGATATATAGCAAATTCTTCTACTTGTATCAGATTCCCATCCACATCATATGTTGCCGCTCCGACAAATACATCTAATGTTTGTCCTCCTCCGAATGAAGAAGTACTTGAACAGGGAACGTAACTATTATCATTGTTCCATTCCAAGTACGAGCTAGCACACTGTGCTTGTGCGTCTTTTTCTGTTAAAAAATAATCAACACACACTTCGGCGCCATTACATTGAATAGTATCTGATGTAAAAGTGCCTGGAAAATCTTTATTTGCGCATATAACTGTCATTGATGACTTCGTAGCGCACCAGGCGCTTACAAGCTCACTGTAGTTATGATCTTTACAGACGGGAATTGTTGTTCTTTTGGAAATCAAAGTTCCATTCTTTGTTGATTCCTCTTGAGGTACTCCTACGACCATAGTTGTGATCGCAATCAAAAAAAAAATACACAATTTAGCAAACATATTCTTTTTATTAGAATGCAAAAGAAAAAGAAAAGGAAATGGGAAGTTTTTAAGTTGTTCTTGTAGAAGGATAATGTTTATGAGAATTTATCTTGAATTTTATAACATAATCATTCTCTGTATTTATTTATTTTCATGTCCTAATCACTCCCAAATAATTTTTATTTTGTTTATTTTGTCTTACATTGTTGATTGATAATGATAAAAAAGTGCCACATGTAAAAAAAAAATTTGCATTTATTCTATTCATTCTTCAGTTCTTTTTCTGATGGTCGCGACAAAAATTATGAATTATGAAAGTGTATATGGTCCGCAAATCATCTGTGAACCTGTAAATCTTACCGGCGGTCATTTATCTCAGCGACTTTAGAAATTTTTTTGTGGTCTGATCTCTATTTGTCACTTGCATAAAATGTCACACCATTTATGCGGTGTAACAAATACTAGGTGATTATCCTGTGTGGTGGACAATCCCGCGTAAGATAATCCCGAAATAATTTATAAATATAGGTATATTCCGTCTTTTTTCTTTTTTCCGTAAAAGACTCATAATTCTGGAATTAATAAGGAATTTATCGAATTGTTTACATTTTCTGTGAATGGATCCGTGAAAGGCTCATTTTACAGAGTTTTTACAGAAATAACAGATAAAATTTTTTATAGTAGGGATTCAGTACTAGTACGAATTTTGCAAATCTGTATGTACAGTACGGTTGATCATTATATTCTGCAATCACGAATGAATATGAATGAAATTTGTGACTCCTCGGATGACGAACTGAAGAAAAAGTAGAAAAAAAACAAACACAAAAGGACTGGGTAGTCTGCTTTTCCCTCTGTTTCCAATTTGACTTAATTTAATTAATTTATTATTATTTTTATTTTATGGATAGTAAAGAGAATTACAATGAAAACTAAGGAGTATTACAATGAAAATCACAAAACTATTCTAAATAATGTAACTGGAAAACATTATAGAACTTTAGCGATTAGAATGAATTATTTAGGAAACAAAAAGAAAGGAAAAAACGAAAAAAAGGAATAGTAAAAAAAGATATGAATAATATAATTAATGACCAATCACGTGATCTAAGCGATAATCAAAAAAAAATTATGTACGACTAACAGAGATTAAATTTATAGCCAGAAAATATCGATTTATATTCTTAAAAAATCAATATGTCAAAAATTCTATTCGTCATTTAGTCTACAAACATGCTTTCACTGAACCAAATGCTGAAGATTATCCATTTTTGGTTCCTTTTTACGCTAAACGTCACCCCAATGATAACAAAATTTGGACTAATATCAAACGTCTATCAAAACATCTTAATCAACCTACTCCCCCTCCAATTGTAATAGATTCTCCTCAACCGATTGAACCCTATAACCCTGTTCCTAATATGTTTATACCTGAGAAATACCGTAATATTATACCCAAAGACCCCATTTACGTTAATGATCGATTTATTATTCCAGGATCACGTGAATGGTTTACGTATATGTATAATTTGGAGATATCCATTAGAGAAAAAGTTGAACAAGAAGAAAATGAAAAATTAGAAAGATTTGAACGTGAAGTGGCGCAATCAATCAAATCAGGTTATGAAGCAAATCGAGTGAGATGGAAACAGTATGATCTCAACAGAATAACCTTATTAGAAAAGGAGCAAGAAAAGGAAAGACAAGAGGTAATGTACTATGGTACTAGCGTTAAACATCTCAAGGCCCGTAAAGAAAGTATTAAATCTCTTACGGATTCATCGAATGATTTCCACAATTATATCCCTGATCACTTGAAGAAAAAGAAGTTGCTTAAAGACGCCGGTCAAAAACGGCAAAATATCAATCGTAATTTAAAGAAATTTCTCAAAAACCACAACCTCAGACATCATCTCAATTTTTTCGACACTATATATGATCCCTTGGTTGTCTTGGATGACACTGCTACTCTAGAATCTCGCCCCAACAAACGTAATATGGATAACAGTAGGATTTTTATGTCCTTAAATAATGACTCACCATCAAAACGTTCTCATCCTGCACCAATAGAAGAAAATGACTCCGTAGTTGCGGGACCTTCAAATTCGAAATAATTCATTTTATATATATATTATTATATTTGGAGTCAATTACCCTTTTTCGAGTAGTTTAATCTACATTTTATTTTACCTTTTATTTTACAATAATATTTTACAAACAATTAAAAATAGTGTGAATCATTCCACCTCTTACAGGATTTACAGGTGGCGACCATGGTCGAAAGAAAAATCCGGATCTTTAATTTTTTTTTTAGATTGTTGTACAATTTTAGCTAGGACATACTTTTATTAACTTTTAATTTTTAGATTCCTTTTAACTTTCGGATGGGTGGGGTTCTTTTTCTTTTTTTTCTTTGTTCCCATTTGAAAGGTTAGCATAGTCCTAGCTTTTTGAATAGATAGTCCGAAGGGTGAGGTCCCGTAGGGGATTAACATCCAAAATTCTATACACGTATATTAGTTGTCAAACATGAAAATGTCTTCTCACTTCTATTTGTAATAGTTTTGGATGTACTTCTCTTCTAGTAATAAAATAAATAAATAAATAAAATAAAGAGATTAAATTTAATTTAATTCTTGATCATATGAAAAACATGATATCCCTATAAGAAATATGTATACGGAAAGGATACGTTTTGTATACATTTTATGTACGTTTCTATAGATTCCGTATACAAATTCCGTATATTTAATAAGCAATTCATTTTTGAACATTTTTTAAAAAAACTGATGTATATGAAATGTATACGGAAAAAATTAATCACACGGAATGTATACGGAATTTTTAAACTTAATATTTTTAGTATTTATTTTTTATTTTATGTGAAGCCGGACAGACTATTAAACAGGACATATACCAAACGTGAGTTATCATACTTCTAGCTATCATCCATCACCAGGACGGACCTGAACTTCTTTAAAAACGTTGGAACCAGCCTGATCCC